TACTGTGTGTCCTGCATTGTGCTCAACTCTTGGCATTCTTTGATCTGTCTACTCTTTATAACAATCCCATGAAGTTGTTCACATTCCTACTTAATAGATGGGGGAGGAGGGGTCATTCTAAATGTAAAACAGTTGAGTTGCTGCTGGTTCTGGAGCCTGTTATTGCAACTACTCTGCCATGCTGCCTCTTGGAGGGTGATGGAGCTGAAGGGACAGGGAGAGAGAGCTATTCCCAAAAGATCAAGTCATAGTGTGGAACATGGCCTTGGTGACATGTCCTAGCCACACTGTATAACTCCTTGATTCCTGTAGTCACTCATTGGCTGTTTCTGACCTTTCTATTAGCTGTGTTATGGACAAAGAAAACCTTTCTTCGTGGGTTACCATCTCAAGGTGAACTTGGTTAATTGTTGACAGCCTCTGGGAACCCTGTGGATAATGCAGTGTTAGATGTGGTGGATTTACAGGTGGTTGCATGGATTGGCCCTGCCAATGGGAATGGAGATCAGAAAGGCCTTCGTCTCCCTTACTCTGGGGAACTGGTTCTCTAAATAGATGTTTCCAAGATGCTTTTGCAGAGAGACTAAAAATAGCTGGCTTCTACCTGTAAATACCCCCATTGCATATATGGAATGCATCTTAATGAGGGCTGGAGAACTGATGTGCAGAAATGATAAGTAGCTCAACTGAATTTTCCAGCAATTAAAATAAAAAAAAAAAAAACAAAACAACTTCTGACCTCACTTAAAAGCAACACTGGATAATTTAACATAGTTTGAGAGAGAGTGTATGGTTTGAAGATCAGTGTTGTCCGGAACCAGGAATGGTTATGTAGGAATTGCAATTGGGGTTTGGGAGGAGGAATCAATGCTCAGATTCCAGTGCACTGACATCTGCCCCCACCAGGAGATGGGGCAGGCATGCTGGGTGCTACCTTATTTCTGAAAAAGGCCCTCAAGCAACCCTCAACCTGTAGAGGCTTTTGACTGATTTGACCTTTTCCTCCTTTTACATTTCTTTTTATTTTGATAGATGGACACAACTCATTCATTCATTCATTCATTCATTCATTTATATGTAGTGCTGAGGATCGAACCCAGGGCCTCACTCATGCTAGGCAAGTGCTGTACCACTGAGCTACAGTCCCAGCCACTCCGTTTACATTTCTGCTCCATGTTTACAGTCAGTATAAACATTGCTGAGCACACTCAGGTCTGAAAATTCTGTAATCTGTGGTAATGGTTAGACAGTGATTCTGTGATGTTGTGTAGCCTTTTGTTTTCAAGGCCTGGGGAGTCTCCTGTTTCCTGTGGATGGGAACTGGGGAGGCCTTTTGGGTAAGTTGCCATTTTTTATTGTTCCAGGAATGTGGTCAGGCATTTGAACTTTCACCTGTCAAAATCACTTTTGGAACAAGGACTGTTTTCCCTCCAGCTTCTTAGAATAGCAGAATGAAGGTATCGTTTATCCCAGTGAGACTGTAATGGGGGCTTTCCCATTTGGACACCCACCTTGAATTCATTGGAAACAGAATCCTGGGCTTTATATTTTTCATAAATTTGGCTCAGACTTTAACTGAGTCATATTTCCCCCCCCCAAATCTTTTTGATTTAAAAAAGATTCTTGTCTCTTTCCTTTAGAGCAGCATGTGTAAGCTAGATAAAAATACAGCAAAACAGCAAACTTGCTTTGTGTTTTGAGTTATGCATTAAATCTTCAGGTTTGCTTTTGAAAAGCATTTAACACAAAACTCTGGGAGGTTTTGAGTTTTGCACACTGGTGGCTTGTGGCYAGGTGACACACATAAGTTTCACTCCCCCACTTTCTCTTTCTCACCCTCCCACTTTTTTTTCAAGGTACTAGGGATTGAACCTAGGGTCACTTAACCACTAAGCTCCATTTGCAGCCCTTTATATTTTTTATTTTGAAACAGGGTCTTGCCAAGTTGCTTAGGGCCTCATTAAATTGTTGAGGGCCTCAAACTTGTGATCCTCCTGCTTCAGCCTCCTCAGTCACTGGAATTACAGATATGCACCACTACATCTTGCCTGCCCACATTTTTTAAGATTATTCTTCAAGCCTTTAGCTTGAATAAAGGAAACTAGAATGGAAATTTGACCTGGAAATTCTGATGATCGATAGGTTGGCAATGAATAGCATTTCAAAGATAACCTTGTAACAGGATATATAATCCAAAAATTTTAGTCATGGTCAAGGACTGCCAGCTGGAGAAGTTTCTGGTCCTGGGGATGAATTAATTGCTCAGATACCAAGTGCAGAGTCCAGGGTTTTCTGTGGACCACTGCTCCTATATTGACTGGAGGACCTTAGAAGCAGGACTGGCCTTGTGTTCACACAACCTGTATGCTCAGAAGGGCTCTCCACTTGATTTAATGATGTTGTGGTCTTTAAATTCTCCATGCTTTTTGGGCAAAGGGCCCTGCATTTCCATTTTTTTTAAACTAGGTACTATGAATTATGTAGATAGTCCTGCTTTAAAGTTATTATTTGACAATTAATTACATAGAAAATTCTTGGATACCTTCACTCTTGGAGTGAMGATTGCTTGAATTTAGTTTGTCTAACCAGCCAGTTCATGATAATCTTTATTTGTCCAGTGTACGTGATCAGGTTTTATTATGCCCGAATCTGCAACTGTGAAATTTGTTCTTGGTTTCTGTGGGTTTGGGTGTGGGCTTTTAGAGGRTCTTTTGTTGTAAGAGATCCAACAATAACCAGCTTAATTTTTATATTTTTTAATTTATTTGTTTTTAATATTTATTTTTTAGTTTTAAGTAGATACATTATCTTTATTTTGCATTTATGTGGTGCTGAGGATMGAATATTTTTTATTTTGAGACAGGGTCAGTGCCTCAAGCATGCTAGGCAAACGCTCTACCCCTGAGCCACAACCCCAGCCCCAACCAGCTTAATTTTTAAAAAGCCCTCAGTCTTTCAGTTTTGAGTGGCAGACCATACACTCCTTAGCGGCATGTGGTTGTAGTTGGGTTTCATTGTGTGCAATCTGGTGTATGTCTAACCCAGGTGGCTTGTGGTGGGACACAGGAGTGACTCAAAGATGAAGAAGGATTGGTTACTCTCTACTAGGCATTCCTGGGGCCTGAGGGTAGGAGTCGGGGAAATGGACASAAGGTCCTATGTTGAGGGAGAGGTCCCTGGCATATTTACAACACACATGCTGGTGGGAATGTTGCACCACCAACCTTGAGGTTTGGTGCCTGAATGATGAACTAGGGTTTGTCTTGTAGGAGGATGGTGTAAAGAGTTTTTCCATCAAAGGAATACAGAATACCAAAAGGCCCTGGGGTTCAGAATAAGATATCTTGGGGGAATAGGCCATCTTTGAGCCTGAGAATGGGTTATGGTGGGTGGGTACGGGTGACAAGGGTAAAGCTCACTGGAACTTGTGTAGRTTCTGAAGGTGTGTTTAAGGAGTTGACTGTGGAAGTCAGGACCAGGGAATAAGGACTAGAAAGATGGTGCTGGGTTATGTGACTTAACTTCTTCAATGGCTGTTCAAGATGTGGCAAAAGAGGAGAAGGTTGATGTTTATTGGGAAGGTATAGAGATTTGCCAAGAGATTAGGGTAGGGGGAGACGATACACTGTGCAAACTATACCAGGGTTTTGAAGGAAGATCCCAAAGTGGTTCTACTGTTTTCAGCTTGGGGTCCCTGTACAAGGGGGTGGATGTTTGGTAGTGAGGGAGATAAGAAACTGAGGGATAGAGATATTTAAAGATAATATTTATAATGCTTGAGTTTTTTTTTTTTTTTTAATTCATTTGTATGGAGGATTGAACCCAGGGTTGCCATATCACTGAGATACACCCCAGCTTGGTGGCAGGGTCTCATTAAGTCGCTCAGGTTGGCCTCAAACTTGTGATCCTTCTGCCTCAGCATCCTGAGATGGGATTTCAGGAATGCACTGCTGTACCCAGCTGTTGTTTGAGTTTTGTGGGTGTAGATGGACGTTGGTAAAAGGACAGAGAACTGATCAAAGTGTGATGTTTTGTCAAGCAGAGGGAAGACTAGAAAGGGGCTATGACTTTGGCTTCCCACTCCCCCCCTTGGCTTTGCCCATTTGCGTCATTTTAACTATTAAATGATTTCCTCTTTTGAAAAATTGACTTGTCAATTTTTGTCAAAACTGAAAACACTGAGCATTGGTGAGATTTAAGAGGACTCTGTCCTCTTAAACCTACAGATAGGAGTATAAATGAAAACAATATTTATAAGGAAAGGATGACTAAGAYATAATGAATAGTGAAAAGAAGCATTTAAAAGCTGATTGTAGGGCTGGGGRTGCAGCTCATTGGAAAAGCACTTGCTTAACGTGTGAGACCCTGGGTTCCATCSCCAGCACTGCAAAACAGTCAACAGTATAGTATAATATACATTCAGGGCAGCAAACACTGTGACATTAGTGTATACAAGCATACACACATACAGTCTAGACTGTGACACCAGGTTAGCAGATGGTTTTCTCAGTGATGCCTCCACCCTCCTTTAAAAATTTACTTATGTACCTATCTATTTATTTAAATTTTTAGTTGTAGATGGACACAATACCTTTATTTTATTTATTTAGTTTTATGTGGTGCTGAGGATTGAACCCAGTGTCTCACATGTGCTAGGCAAGCACTCTGCCACTGAGCCACGACCTTAGCTTAGACCCCTTTTTATTGTTTATATTTCTGAAATGATTTTTTATAAATTATAAAAACTTTTTCTTATGAAAAATTTCAAGCATCCACATAGAGACAATAGTATAGTGCATCCTCATGATCYAGTGGTGCCAGTGAATAACATTTTGGAATCATATTTCCTCTATTCCCATCCTCAAGTATTTTGATGCAAATCCTAGCATTGTGCCCGTTCACTCTCAAATATCTTAGGGGTGAGAACTTCACTCACTCAGGGGCATGATTCATGCTTGGGTCACCCAAAAGAATGACCACACCTATGCCTGTCTCCACAGATAGCAAAGCCATTGTGGATGGGAACCTGAAGCTCATCTTGGGCCTGGTATGGACACTGATTCTCCACTATTCCATCTCCATGCCCGTGTGGGAGGATGAAGGGGATGACGATGCCAAGAAGCAGACACCAAAGCAGAGGCTGCTGGGATGGATTCAGAACAAGATCCCCTACTTGCCTATCACCAACTTCAACCAGAACTGGCAAGATGGCAAAGCCCTGGGAGCCCTGGTTGACAGCTGTGCTCCAGGTAAGTATCCTTTCTGCCTAAATCATCTCTTGGGATGGGAGTCATTGGGCCCTAAACTTCTGGGGTTGGCTTCAAGCTTAGCTGTAACTGGTGTGTGTCTCCTGGTTTTGCCTACTCTATGACAAATAATGGAACTAAAAATGACTGTTCACCCTCCCAGTGGCAGATGTTCTAGGTGTATCCACAGATATGTTGGAGCATTGAATCTAGTCGTCTAAATTCCCAGCAAAGGCCTCAGTGCTTATGCTTGGAGCAGACCGTGGGTTTAGCTTTCAGACTCCAAAGTCCTGTGTCTTCCCACATTGGTGCCTGGTTTCTGGATGGCTTTGGCAGAAATATGTGACCCTCTTAGGTGGCTTGGCATGAAAATCTAAAAACTTCCATAGAGTGGAAAGTTCTTGTTTTTATTAACCACTGGTTTGACTATATATGGCTTTTTTCACTCCTTTCTTTCTGTATTGCTATGGAATAGTCCTTGATCAGGATCCAGTTGGAGTCTTTTCCACCCTTGATGGGCTCTTTTCTGAGTGGTTCAGTGTACACCAAGATTGTAATTATCCTCACTGGAAGGGTTTAGATTGATGGATAGAGTTTACCGCCCTACACTCAATAGAAGAACCAGAGCCAGTGTTTACATGTACCCCCTAAAATTGTTTTTAATAAAAAAAAAAAACTACTCTGATAATTATATTTTCCACTGAGTGATCTGTATATGCTGGGCACATTAGATTTTTGTTTGTTTTACAATCTTGGTGTACACTGAGCCACTCAGAAAAGAGTCACCAGGGATAACCCAGGGGTATTCTACCTCTAAGCTACACCCCCAGTTCTTTTTATTTTCATTTTGAGGCAGGTTTTCACAAAGTTGCTCAGGCTGGCCTCRGACTTGCTGTCCTCCTGTCACTGCTTCCTGAGATTCTGGGATTACAGAAGTGCGCCACTGCACCCAGCTCACATTAGTATCTAATAAGGTAGTATCTAATAAGGTAGCAGTCCTAAATACAACAAAGGAGTGCTAGCTAGTGTCCTTTGAGTAAAGGAGAAGGGCTGATCAAGCTGCATTCTTCCTTGAGAGCCCATAATGTGGTATATTCAGGAAGAACTTGAAGCACAGCATTAGTTCATCTCCCACTGCCCTCTTCTTCCATTCATTTAAAAACAGAATTTAAGATGCCTCTTMCCAATTTAAATCTGAGGATTTTTACTCCAGTCTTATACTTCGTGTGTCTATAAAGACTTTGAAAATAATTCTATGACTGTGTCTTCATGCAAGTAGATTTTTGAACCACACAGATGCTAGTTCTGTCTTTTTCAGCTCTATCCAGGAATAGGATCAAAAGAATTTCTCAAAAGTCATGAAACCCACATAATCTTATCGGCTTTGTTTGTCATAGCAGATCTTCAAGGAATGGGGAGCCCCTATCTTAATGCAGGAACATAGCAGCCTAAAGGAGAAGCCTCTGCTAATGTAGAAGAGTGTGATCCTTAAAATATAGAATTCACTGAGATTTTGGAGGAAATTTTTATCTTGAGTTAAGAGAGTAAATGGGTTTAATTTTAGACACGTGGCTTCTTTTAATCTCTTGGGTCTGCTCTGCTAACAGCATCTTTTGTATTAACAGGTCTGTGCCCAGACTGGGAGTCCTGGGATCCACGGAAGCCTGTGGATAATGCCCGAGAAGCCATGCAGCAGGCAGATGACTGGCTGGGTGTCCCACAGGTATAAACACACGTGCCATGTCCCATGAACCTGCCCCATCCCTTGGTTTATTTCTGCCACTCTGGATACCTTTCTGGATCATAGAGGCAGTCTGATCTTGGCATTCAGCTTTCCAAGAACATGGCCTTTGGCCCTCTCCCACCTCCCTCAGTTTACTCATAATAAATAATAGATTCTCGTGGATTTAGGTGCTTTTGGATCACCCMAAATCACATGCTGGTAAACTTTGTTTTTCTTTTACTTCTTCTGTGTGTGTGTGTGTATGTGATATGATAATCAGTATTTATTACTAGGTAAGTATTACTGTACAGAAAAAAAAATTATTTATCTGAAAGATAAGAGGTGAAGAATCCTCTGTTGCAGACCCTGGAAGGTGAGTCTGGGTGGGATGGCTGGGCAGAAAGAGCTCAGGTGGAGTCTGCTTAGGTTTTTCCCCGATGTTGTTTTTCGTCACCATTTTCAGAGCGGTTCAGGGCTGCTGAAAACTCATGGACCTCACCAGCTGGGAGCATCCTGTGTCCATGTTTGTCCTCAGCTACATGCACAGCCAGTGTGGCCTACGGTTTCCAGCTTGGGCCAGAACAGACACCATCTCAGCCTCTGTGTCCATAAGGCTAATTGTCACCTGGACTTCCTTTCCCTGTCTCTAAATTTTCTACTTTTTTTGCTCCAAATACTTTAAAGGCAGTCTTTAAGCCCCAAGTAGCAAATGTGGACCTTAGCTATTAGGTTGAACCATAAGAAATTGTCAGTATTCAATCATCTTTTACCTATATAAAAGAAAAACAATTTCAATCTGATATTTTAGGGAAAGTCATAGGACTTAGACCTTTTTTTTTTTTTTTTCTGTGGGTGGCGGGGGAGTTACTGGGGATTGAACTCAGTATCACTCAACCACTGAGCCACATCCCCTATTTTGTATTTTATTTAGAGACAGGGTCTCACTAARTTGCTTAGTGCCTCACCAGTGTCGAGCTACTGGGATTATACGCGTGCAACACTATACTAACAGGACTTATAACTTTTAAAAACACTGTAAACAGGGATTACTCACTATTAATGGGAATTGTGGAAGAATTTGTATTGCCCATAATCCTGTCACAGGAATAACAAAAAAACTTGAAAAAAGACTAAGATACTATCTATGATAGCTACATTGCTTAGCTGATGTCCATTCTTCCTAGCAGGGAGGAAATCCAGTGTTTCTTTCTAAAAAAACTACCTTTGGTAGTTAAGCAACCATSACTCCCACGGTCAAAGTCCTGATCAAAGAGAAGTGGTAGATAGTTGGTACTGCGMTGTTGAGGACCTCACTGTAGGCTCCACTAAGGTCTGAGTTGGTGTTCAGAGCTGATTTCAGTGTATTTTGTAACAGGATTGCTAGGAAGGTAGAAAAACTTGCCTATTTCCTTGGTTTGGTTTTGGAATCACGTCTGTGCTACATGAYCCATTTCTTGGCTCACCCACCCTCAGGAAGTGGTGTGGTATGTTTTTCATCTCCTTTTAAACCTAAAACCATCTCCTTTTGACGTTCATATGATGTTAGCACTGTAAAGTTTTAAAGGAGCTGCTGGGGAGAAATGCCAAACCTGTGCACATCAATTTTATATGGAATGTATTACAGGCCACTGTTCAAACCCAAAGAGCTATTTTGTTCTTGMAGACTAATCATCAGAATGTTTTCCTTTGTTGCTTTTTATGTCAGGGAGGGGGAAGTTGAATACATCAGTTTATAGCGTTTGGGTAACCTGGGTCAGGAGACCAAGCCTTCCCTTTGTTTAAGGAGTGGTGGCTTACCCGCTCAGCACCATTGTTGGGGAAAGGGAGCATTTGGCATGCTGTTACGTCTGTATCAGTGGTGGCACCGAGGCTTTTACCACCTTCATGGAGGTCATCTGACCAATGTGGATCTTATCTTAAGCTGAGTGTCAGGAGAAATTCACCCACTCCCCATTTTATTTTTTAATGACTCCTGATAGATTGAGACCACATATCTAATATGTCCCTGTATTGTCTCCTACTGATTTTGTTTATTTTTATTAGTAGAGTTAATAGAGATGTAGAGAGTGGATTTATAAGTAAAATGCTGTTTTATCTATGTACTTTTTTAAATGGTATTTTTTAATCCTGTGTGTTTCCTTCTTTCTTCTTCCTCCTGTTTGCCRTAGCTTATTGCTTTATCCTTTTTTGGAATGTTTGGCCAGGGGAGAGAGAGGAATCTTATTTTGGGAGGGAAAAGAATGAATCTCTGGAAATTATGTGGAGARTTTTCTGGAAAAGATCCCCCAGCTTTATCCTCTAAGAGGTTAAAAACACCAATCTGGGCATTTCGGTTTAATGTATTTCACTTTAATGTATTTCACTTCAGTGAGAAGCTGACTCAATTTCTTAGCATTTGTAGCATTTGGTTTAAGAGCTATTTGCAAAATTTTCAGTGGTTGCCATGTGAGACATTCTGGGTATTCATCTGCCATGTTGTTTTTCTAGGTCATCACTCCTGAAGAAATTATTCACCCGGATGTGGATGAACACTCAGTGATGACTTACCTGTCCCAGTTCCCCAAAGCCAAGCTCAAACCAGGAGCTCCTCTTAAACCCAAACTCAACCCAAAGAAAGCCAGGGCCTATGGCAGAGGTAAGAGCTGGTCCTTTTGGCTTTGAGGCTTGTCCTCTGGTATTGGAGATTGTTATGTGGTTTTGCCGGGAATGTTCTGAATGAAGACGATAGGACAGGCTTAATCCTTCCAGATATCCTAGGCCTTCTTTGTTACGTGCCTTTTTTTCCTTTTATCCTAGAGATCCATTATTTCTGACCATCTTATGATAGAGAATGAAGAGTTTGCTGCTTTGTGATGTTAGTGCAGTGACCCTGCAACAGAGAAAGGGCCATTGCTCCCATTTTCAGAAGAGGAATCAGAGCCTGTCCACAAGGAGTGGGGATAGGTCTTGCCTCGGGTCTCTCATCACTGATGGGAGCAGGCAAGAGCTTGAGTCATCTGACCCTTGATTCATTTCTCCCGTTATGCAAAAGTGGCCTCAGGTTTCCAGATGGGATGGGAGTTATTGTTAACCCCTGTTAGAAACTTCCTTATGGAGACATCCTGTTTATGAGACTCTGAGACATCTACAGGACAGAGTGTTGCTCACAACATGATACTGGGTCGAAGCCATTTCAAGGCATTTGGTGCCCTGGTTGGCACCTGACTTCAAGTACACTAACTTTGAAAAGAGAACAGTTGTGTGATTGCACAGTTTGATTTTTGGTAAGGATCGGCACAGCGAGATACAGCTTTCTCTCTTTTCTTACTTTTTTTTTTTTTTTAAAGAGAGAGTTAGAGAGAGACAGAGAGAGAGAATTTTTCAATATTTATTTTCTAGTTTTCGGCGGACACAACATCTTCGTTTGTATATGGTGCTGAGGATCGAACCCCGGGCCGCACGCATGCCAGGCGAGCGCGCTACCGCTTGAGCCACATCCCCAGCTTTCTCTCTTTTCTATGCAGAAGAGAAGAAGTGTATTTTATTAATTTTCATAATTGCAGTCAGGATAATATTTATACACACTATATCCTATATAACCCATACCAGAATTAATAATTGTTACCATTCTAACTGAATAGTTTTTTGGCTTTGTGTTTACATTTATTTGTGTCTTTCTATGTGTGCACTTGTTCARTTAGTAAAAAGTAAGCTGGGCGTGGTGGTGCAATCCTATAATCCCAGCAACTTGGGAAGCTAAGGCAGAAGAATCATGAATTTGATGCCAGTCTTAGTAACTTAGTGAGATCCTGCTTCAAAATAAAAAGAGCTGGGGATGCAGCTCAGTACCCCTGGGTTGAGGGGTTCAGGGGTTTTCTGGTCCCTGAGACCAAAAAAAAAAAGATGCAGGTATAGTGACATTTCACATCTCAATTCATCAGTAAGCCTCTCCTCAGAATAAGATGGCTTCTTATTTAATCACAGGATTCATTATCACATATAAGAAAATTGACCATAATTTCACATCATCTGATATCTGGTTTGTATTCAAATTCTCCTGAAAATTTTTCTATTATAATAGACAACCTTACATATTAAGATTTGATTGAGGTTTATATGCTACATTTGTTATTCCTCTTTAGACTCTATAAATATAGAATAATTTCCCCAAACTTTTTTTTTTTTTTTGATAGTATTGGCTTTTTGCAGAGTTCCAGGCATGTGTCTCACAGCATGTCCTRTAAACACATTCCCTTTGAGTAAAGTGTTTTTTCCCTGTAGGCATCAGCTAAGCCTTAAGATGACACATGTCAGGCCAGAGATGTTGACCAGGTGTTGTTCTCGCTTTCAGTGGCTGGGTCTTGTCATGGGTCTTTTTGGGCACGTTTTAGACTCACGGAAAGCCTAGTAATGTTGGTGAGGATGCACTTGCCACTCGAGGTTCTCTCTGGCATTGAAGTGGGGTCTATGCAATGATTTGTGTTTGTAGGAACTGGGGACTTTGTTGGAAGTCCTCCTTCCATTTGTACTTACTGAAAGTTGGCATGCTCATGTTGCTTTCTCTGAACCATAATTGGAATGAGGGGATCCCTGAGTTGGAAGACTGTGCTCCCTTGTAATGGCAAAAAAGCTGCAAAAACAAATCCCTAGTCAACAAAATTGACCAAACACATTGAATCTAATCAAGACATAAAATGCTTGTTTGTAATAACCTTATCACTGGCTGTCTCATTTCCCCATTGTTAAATGTGACATGGCTTCCTTTCACAGTGCTGTTTTCTAGAATGTGACCATTCACTCTGGTTCAGGAATGTGGCTGGTCATTGCCATTTCCTCCTTCTGTCTCTTTGTAAGTGTTGGAGACAGGAGGAGGAAACAAACCTTTATTTCTTTTATATTTATATATGTGTAGCTTTTTGTATTTTAGAAATCATGGTAGAGTGTATGTAACACAAAATTCACCATTTGAACCATTTTTAAGTGTACAGTTCTGTGGCATTAAGTATATTCACAGTGGCATGCGACCATCACCGCTATCCATYTTCAGAACTCTTCAACTTCTGGAATGAAAATATCACTGTCATTAAAATATCCCATCTCTGTTCTCTTCTCCTGGTAACCTCTCTTTTACTTTCTGTCTCTGTGAATTTGCATAGGTATCTCATAGAAATGGAGTCACACAATATCTGTGCTTTTGTGTCTGGCTTACTTCTCTTAGCATGTATTTTTAGAGTTCACATTGTCACATGGATCAGAATTTCATTCCTTTTTATGGATGAATATTCTATTCCATGCATGTGCCACATTTTGTTTATGTATTTGTCTGTTGGTAGACGTTTGAGTTGTTTCTATCTCCCAGCTCTTGTGAATAGTGCTACCATGAATATGGGTGTGCAAGTATCTGAGTCCCTTCTTYTAATTCTACAGCGGACTTGCTGGGCCACCTGGCAATCTGGTTAACTTCTTTTCCCTTTTAAACTAGGACAGCAAAATGGTCATTTTAGGTGACAGGGCCACAGTGTGAGGCTTCACAGATGGGGCCTTGAGACATTATCCTTATTCCATGGTGAAATGAAAGCCAAGGCTGGTTTTKTGCTCTCTCCTAGGTGGCTACATTGTTTTGTTTCACTACCTGAGCCTAGGAATTGAGAGTATTCCATCTAGTTTTTAAAGGGTCGAGGGGTTTACTTTYCCCCCCCATTTTTGGATGTTGAATAGATTCTTATGGCCAGTGAGTTAGCATTTGCAGATCTAGTCATTGAGCTCTGACTTGCCTAGTTTGTGTTGAGGGGGAGGTAAATCCCAGAGCCACAAAAAAGGTTTTTGTGTGGTGGACTCCCTTGCTGGCTTAGGTTTGTTGGAAGCATCCATCCATGAGCTCAGCAGAAACCTTTTCCAAAACCTCTGTTCTATATGAAGCCTTTACTGCCTAGCAAGTCTTAAACACCCTTCCATTGGAGCAATCAAAGGAACCAGCTGTTTCTCGGCTTGGTGAGCCCAGCTCCACAGGAGTTTATGGAGTGTGGGGYTGTGGTTCAACCTCCCAACCAACCATGGTTAGCCAGGGCCCCAGAGCCCAACCAAGCCTTGACAACATGCAGTAAGTTGGTGTTCAGGCTGTTGGAGTTAGATGAAGTAGATGTTTATCAATGTTGTAGGTGCATGTTTAAATTTATTTAAGTGTTACCCAAACATTATGTAAATTTTAAGCGAAATGAAAAACCCATAGTAAACATAAAGTTAAATCCCACTTCCTAGTTGCCCATTCTTTTCCTTCCACCAAAGTCTGAGGCATTTCTTTCTATCCTTTTTGTTTGTGTGTGCTGCATGAGTTCTAGCTGTGATTTCTTCACTTTGGTTTTTTTGGGGGGTTGGGGGAGTACCAGGGATTGAACTCGGGGGCACTCAACCACTCAGTCATATCCCCAGCCCTATTTTGTATTTTATTTAGAGACAGGGACTCACTGAGTTGCTTTTTTTTTTTTTTTTTTTTTTTTTAAAGAGAGAGAGAGAGAACTTTTTAATATTTATTTTTTAGTTTTCAGCGGACACGACATCTTTGTTTGTATGTGGTGCTGAGGATCRAACCCGGGCCGCACGCATGCCAGGCGAGTGTGCTACCGCTTGAGCCACATCCCCAGCCCCTCACTGAGTTGCTTATCACCTCGCTTTTGCAGAGGCTCAGCTTCCAGAGTTGCTGACATTATAGGCGTGTGCTGCTGTACCYGGGTCACTTTGCATTTTTTACCTAACAGTATGGGGACTTTATCCAAAATATTGTAACAAATGACCCAGTGTCTTTTAAACAGATTGGTATGAAGGATTAAAAAAAAAACAACAAAACATAGGGACATTAAGAGAGTAAATGAAATTTAAGAAATTATACGAACCTTATTTGGTTCCAAACTGACTGTTAGAAAGCTTCATGAAATTTATAAGATAATTGGAAACTTGAATTCCAACTGAATATTTGAAGATATTAAGGATGTATTGTTAATGTTTTTGATGTGATGTTGGTCTTGAGGTTTTATTTTTGTTTTCTGATTGTCTGTTTGTTTGTGGTGCTTAGGAATTGAACCCAGGCCCTCACCAAGGCTAGGCAAGTGCTCTGCAACTGAGCCACACCCCCAGCCCTGGTACTGACTATTTACTAACAGTGTTTTTCTAAAGACCCAGTGAATGTTTATAGTTGAAACGTGAGGTCCACAGCTGGTGTTAAAAATGACTCAGAAGKAGGAAAAGAGGTCAGGGTGAAAGTGAAAGAGGTCTGGAGTTGATAGTTGTTGAAAGGAGATGGTGGGTCCATGGGGCTCACTGGACAGTTCTCTCTACAGCCCTGTAGGCTTGGAATTCTCCATAATAAAATGTTTTAAAAATTAAAATTTAAATTATTGCTTCTGGGTAGAGGAAGCAGGACTTTTTCTAGTTCTTCTTGCTAAGTACCACTAAATACCCTGGGTGTCAAATGTTAAGACAAAACCTGAGCAGACTCTGAAGGAGGACAAGTTGGGGCAGCTAAGGCCTGGACCCAAGGAGGGACACAATAGTGAGCTTTTTGGGTTTTCTTCAGCTTTGTCTATCCCAAACTTGGGGCTGAAGAAGATGACAARCACCAAAAGCCCCAACAGAAGTCTGCTCTCTGTAGCCCAGGGTCTA